TCATTTTGGTGGATTTTGGGGCCGTTTTGTTGGATTTTGGGGTCATTTTGGTGGATTTTGGGGCCATTTTGTTGGATTTTGGGGTCGTTTTGTTGGATTTTGGGGTCATTTTGGTGGATTTTGGGGCCATTTTGATGGGCTTTGGGGGGATTTTAATGGATTTTGGGTCATTTAATGGATTTTGGGGTCATTTGGTGGATTTTGGGGTTGTTCTGATAGATTTTGGGATCACTTTTATGGATTTGGGGATCGTTTTATGGATTTTGGATCACTTTTTGATGGATTTTGGGGCCATTTTAATGGATTTTGGGTCACTTTGATGGATTTTGGGGCCATTTTGTTGGGTTTTGGGGTCATTTTATGGATTTTGGGGTCATTTTAATGGATTTTCGTGTCATTTTTATGGATTTTTGGTTCTTCTTGAGGATTTTCGGGGTCATTTTAATGGATTTTAGGGCCAATTTATGGATTCTGGGGTCAGTTTATGGATTTTGGGGCCATTTAATGGATTTTGGGGTCATTTTGATGGATTTTGAGGCCATCTTATTTTGGGGCCATTTTGATGGATTTTGGGGTCCTTTTTACGGGTTTTGGGGCCATTTTGAAGGACTTGGAGGTCATTTTCATGTATTTCGGGGTCATTTCGCTGAGTTTTGGGGCCAGTTTAATGGATTTCGGGGCCGTTCTGAGGGCTTTTGAGGCCACCGACGGATTTTGGGGCCGTTTCGAGGGATTTCGTGGCCGTTTTCGGGGATTTTGGGGCCGTTTTGCCGGGTTTTGTGGCCAGCTGGATGCATTTCGGGTTGAATCCACTCCATTTTGGGGCCGTTTTCCCCCATTTTCCCCCAGATCCGCTGCCTGCAGGACGACGAGGCCGAAGCTGACGATGAGGAGGTGGGCGGAGCTTCAGAAACGGGGGGGGCGTGGCCTGCAGGCTTAGCCCCGCCCCCACGGTGCGCTCTCGTCCAATCAGGTGGAGGCGGCGGCGGAGCTGCGGGAGCAGGCGGGGGAGGGGCTGGTGGCGGTGGGCGGGGCTTCGCCGGGGGGCGGGGCTTTGAGCGACGCCTTCCGCCGAGTCCTGCCCACCCTATTGGGCTGCCTGGTGAGGGGGCGGGGCTAAAGGGGGAGGGGGCGGGGCTAAAGGGGAAGGGGGCGGGGCTAAAGTTATGGGGCGGGGTTATAAGGGAAGGGGATGGGGTTAGAAGGAAGGAGGTGGGGTTAACTGGAAAGGGGCGGGGTTTAAAGGGAAGGGGGCGGAGTTTAAAGGGAAGGGGGCGGGGCTTGGTTGAGGTGTCCCTATTTTGGGTTCCTATGGGGTCTCTATGGGTCCCTATGGGGTCTATGGGGTCCCTATGGGTCCCTATGGGTTCCTATGGGTCTCTATGGGTCCTATGGGTTTCTATGGGTGTCTGTGGGTCCCTATGGGTCTCTATGGGGTTCTATGGGGTCTCTCTGGGTCCCTATGGGTCTCTATGGTTCCCTATGGGTCCCCATGGGTCTCTATGGGTCCCTATGGGTCCCTGTGGGTCTCTGTGGGTCTTTATGGGTGCCTATGGGTCTCTGGGTCCCTATGGGTCTCTATGGGTCTCTCTGGGTCCCTATGGGTCCCTGTGGCTTCCTATGGGGTCTCTGTGGAACACTATGGGGTCGCTATGGTTCTCTATGGGGCTCCATGTGTCCCTGTGGGTCCCTGTGGGTCTCTATGGGGTCCCATGTGTCCTGTGGGGTCTCTGTGGGGTTTATATGGTGTCTCAATGGGTCTCAGTGGGTGTCAGTGGGTCTCTATGGGTCTCTGTGGGTCTCTGTGGGTCCCTATGGGTTTCTATGGGTCCCTATGTGTCCTATGGGTTTCTATGGGTGTCTGTGGGTCCCTATGGGTCTCTATGGGGTTCTATGGGGTCTCTCTGGGTCCCTATGGGTCTCTATGGTTCCCTATGGGTCCCCATGGGTCTCTATGGGTCCCTATGGGTTTCTATGGGTCCCTCTGGGTCCCTATGGGTCCTATGGGTTTCTATGGGTGTCTGTGGGTCCCTATGGGTCTGAATGGGCTTCTGTGGGGTCTCTCTGGGTCTCTGGGTCCCTATGGGTCCCTATGGGTCCCTATGGGTCTCTATGGGTCCCTATGGGTCTGTATGGGTCTCTATGGTTCACTATGGGTCCCTATGGGTCCTATGGGTCCCTATGGGTCCCTGTGGGTTTCTATGGGTCTCTATGGGGCTCTCTGGGTCCCTATGGGTCCCTATGGGGTCTATGGGATCCCTATGGGTCTCTGTGGTTCCCTATGGGGTCCCTGTGGGTCCCTGTGGGTCCCTATGGGTCCCTGTGTGTCCCTGTGCCCCATTTGTGCCCCCGCCCCCCGCTGACGTCGCAGAGCGGCGACGCGGCGCAGCGCTCCTGGGCGGCCGCCATCTTGGGCGAGGCAGGCTTTTACCTGGACGTGGGCATGGCCAAGGAGCTCCTCCCTCTGATTGGCCCGGCCCTCGCTCGAAGCTCCGCCCACGACCCGGACCCGGAAGTGCGCAGCAACGCCCTCTGCAGCATCGGGCGCCTGGCGGCCAATGGCGTCGCGTTGGGGGCGTATCCTTGGAGACTAGCCCCGCCCCCCCTTCCTCAAGCCCCGCCCACTTCCCGTGCAGCCCCTATTGGAGCGCTGAGTTGGCCCGAAATGGCCTGAATCGCCCCCAAATTCGCCCCCTTCCATCCCAACCGACTGCCAGCCCCGCCGGAAGCCCCGCCCCTTCAGTCAGATGTCAATCAGCCACCGGAACCACGCCCTTTTTAAATATAAGCCCCGCCCACTTCACCCGAAGCCACGCCCCCCCGTCAAGCCCCGCCCTGTTGGTCTGATGTCGATCACCGAAGCCCCGCCCACATCGAAGCCCCGCCCCTTTCACTAAGCCCCGCCCACTTCCATTAAACCCAACCCAATCCATCTGGCCCCGCCCCCTTCCACTACGCCCCGCCCCTTCCATTCCTCCCGGTCCAATCCCAGACCCCGCCCTCTTAAGTCCCGCCCTCCTCCGGCCCCATTGGCCGCCCTGCAGCCCCTTTAAGGCCCGCCCACCTCGCTGCCCATTGGCTGCCGCCCTTCTCCCCATTCATCCCCGCCCAGCCAATTGCGAGCCGCCACCCTTCTTCAAGCCCCGCCCCCTTTCTCACCCACCCAATCAGCGCTAAGCCCCGCGCCCTGCTTGTAGCCCCGCCCTCCGCTTTAAACCACGCCTCCTTTTTTTCCTTGACCCCGCCCCCAGGGCGTGGCCGGGCCTGGCTGCCATTGGCCGAGCGCTGCGGGAGGAGGGGCCGGGCTGGGCGCGGGACAACGCCTGCGGGGCTTTGGTCCGCCATAAGGGGGCGCTGCCGGATGCGGAAGTGAGGGGCGGGACTTCCGGTTGCGGGGGGGGGCCGGCGATGAATGGATGGGGCGGGGCGTGGCTTGAAGGGTGCGTGGGGGCGGGGCGAAGGGCTGCAGCCAATGGGCTGCGAGGTGGGCGTGGCTTAAAGGGGTTGCGATGCGGCGGCCAATAGGGATGCGGGTGGGCGGGGCTTAAGGGGGGGCGGGGCTAACGGACTCAGCCAATGGGATTCGAGGTGGGTTCAAAGCAATGGGGGCATGAGGTGGGGATGGGCAGAAGGGGGTGTGACCGGAAGTGGTTGTGACCGGAAGTGGGCGTGGCCTGACGCTGGCCCCGCCCCCCCTCCCAGCTGCTGGTTCTGCTGCTCCCGGCGCTGCCGCTGACGGCGGATTTTGAGGAGAATTCCGCCGTTTTTGGGTACCTGCTGCAGCTGCACGTCCAGCAGGTGGGCAGCAGGG